CGGCAGATGATGTGGGCTACCACCACAGGACAGCTCTTCCTCCAGGAATATCACGCGCAAACAGTGGCTGATTTCATGCAGTCACCGCAATATCTGAAGGAGGTTCAAGACGTCAGGGTGGACTGTTTCCCTTTGCCCTGCAGAAGGCTGGCGAGCAGATCGCCGAGGATGATTTCGAGCAATTTGACCCTGGGGCTATTTGGGACGCCTTGCCCAAGGTCCCTCCTAGCTTTTAGGGCGATCCTAACTTACCGCTCGAACATAAGTGGTGGTCTGGTTTGCTCGATTGAACCTTGGCTCGATCTGATATACTCAAGAAGACATATGCTTTGCCCGATGGTGTGACTCTTCCTGCTCACATGTTGGTCGCACTGGCCGAGTCTATTCGACAGCGTCCCCTCAATGAAGCCTGTGACTCAACTTCAAGTATCGGCCATCAGCTTGATCCTAATGCCCATTTGAGCAATGCTGACTCGATTGTCGCCCCTCCTCCGTAGTGTTGTGTTGTATTATTTTTTATTATTACCGTTTTCGTAAATTTCTGTAATGTGTGAACTCTTCATGATCTCCTGATCTTCTTAAAATGAAAATGTTTTGGATGATTTATTTCTATCTTTGATGATGCTTGTGATGACCTGCTTCGATGCACTTGTGTGACTTCTTAACGAGGTAACTTGGGTGAACTCATATGCCACTAACATATTTCCCATTTTTTAACTTGTATTTATCCGCGTAGTTATAAATTTCGAATGCATGCCCACCCTCAAAGGGGTGGACGTTACATTCGACCATCCAGCCTCGTGGCCTTAATCATGATGGATTTTTTGCTTCGAGCGCATGCCCACCCTCAAAGGGGTGGTCGACATACGACCATCCAACCTCATGGCCTTATTCATGATGGGTTTTTATGTTTGAACACATGCCCACCCTCAAAGGGGTGGTCGTTACATGCGACCATCCAGTCTCATGGCCTTAATCATGATGGATTTTTTGCTTCGAGCGCATGCCCACCCTCAAAGGGGTGGTCGTTACATACGACCATCCAGCCTCATGGCCTTATTCATGATGGGTTTTTATTTTTGAACACATGCCCACCCTCAAAGGGGTGGTCGTTACATGCGACCATCCAGCCTCGTGGCCTTAATCATGATGAATTTTTCTTTTTGAACACATGCCCAGCCTCAAAGGGGTGGTCGTTACATGCGACCATCCAGCCTCGTGTCCTTAATCATGATGGATTTTTTGCTTCGAGCGCATGCCCACCCTCAAAGGGGTGGTCGTTACATACGACCATCCAGCCTCATGGCCTTATTCATGATGGGTTTTTATTTTTGAACACATGCCCACCCTCAAAGGGGTGGTCCTTACATGCGACCATCCAGCCTCGTGGCCTTAATCATGATGGATTTTATTTTTGAACACATGCTCACCCTCAAAGGGGTGGTCGTTACATGCGACCATCCAGCCTCGTGGCCTTAATCATGATGGGTTTTTCGCATATGACCTGTCACCAAGGTTAATCCAGGAATTCCAGCTATATAAGATAATTCGACAAATAATGTATTGTAGAAATTCCAGTACGCCACTTCATTGATTATCGAGTAAAGGAGTTCATTACATTGGTTCCAGCGAGTTTCTTTGTAAATAAAAAGAAAAAATTTTAAGCATAATATTTCTTCAAGTTAGCAACATTCCATGACCTGGCTAGAGATCTTCCTTCTGCATCCTTTAAAGAGTATGCCCTTCCAGCATGGACCTTTTCGACCAGGTATGGTCCATCCCAGTTCGGTTTTAATTTTCCGGCATGCTTCAACATATCGACTCTTTTCCACACCAAGTCACCCACTTGGAATCTTCGTACTTTCACCTTCCTATCATGCGCTGCTCGCATCCTCTGCTTCTATGCCTCAACCCTGATTGAGGCTTTTTCTCGAAGCTCTACGATTGTGTCGAGCGCTTCCATCATCAAATGTTCATTCTGTTCTCGATCATATGTGCTCGATCTTTGGGACTAAACCTCGACCTCTACCGGCAACAAAGCTTCCATTCCATAAACTATACTGAACGGTGTTTCTCCAGTGGTCGATCGGGGCGTTGTTCTGTATGCCCATAGTATCGAAGTAAGTTCATCCACCCACGCTCCCGATGCCTTCTCCAGCCTTGTTTTTAGACTGTTCAGTATGATCCTATTGGTCACTTCGACCTGCCCGTTGGCTTGCGGATGCGCGACTGAAGCGAAGTGATGCTCGATTTTCATGTCCTCGCACCATGCCCGAATCCGCTTGCCATTGAATTGGGTCCCGTTGTCCGACACCAGCACCTTTGGGACTCCAAACCTACAGCATATGTTGTTATATAGAAAATGTATCACTTTCTCCTCCGTGATCTTTGCCAAAGGTTCAGCCTCCACCCACTTCGTAAAATAATCGGCCGCAACAATCACAAACTTTCTCTGCCCAGCTCCTTGAGGCATGGGTCCGACCAGGTCGATCCCCCACTGGGCGAACGGAATGGGAGAACTCATCGCGGTCATTGCTTCAGCCAGTTGATGGATAAGCGGGTCGTGCTTCTGGCATTGCAAACACCTTCGTACCATCAATTTTGCATCTTCTCTCATTGTCGGCCAGAAATATCCTGCCCTTAGAACTTTCGCCACCAGGGAACCTGCCTTGCTATGGTCGCTGCAGCATCCCTCATGGATTTCCTTCAACACATAACGTCCTTCTTCTTTGGTCACACATCGCAAGTGCGGGCCAGCGTGCAATCTTTTGTATAGAGTCCCTCCATGCTCGAAAAATCTCCTTATTACTTCGACGGATCCTTCCTTCAATTCTTTGGTTATCAGTGCCCTCTAATCCTCAAATTCTTTTATCTCGGCCACCACCTTCTGGACCGCACTCCTCTCCATATGTAGCAGGGTCACACTCCTGCTCTTGCAATCTACCAGACTTTGTGCCACCTTAGCTAATATGTCCGCTCGACCATTTTCTCCTCGAGGTATCTGGATCAAATCGAATGAATCGAACTCCTCCTATAGTTTCTCATCTCCTCCACATACTTCCCCATCCTTTCTTCCCTGACCTCAAACCCTTCTTGGAACTGACCCACCACCAACTGTGAATCTGAAGGTATCTGCACTTTTCGAGCTCCGCCAGCTAGGGCCAACCTGAGTCCCTTAATGTCTGCTTCGTACTTCGCCTCGTTATTTGATACCTGGTACGCCACTTTTACTGCAAACTCGAGGTTGTCACCCTTTGGCGATATAAGTACAATGCTAGGCCACCCCCGGCCCTCGACACCGATCCATCTGCGTACACCTGCCACACTCCTTCCGACTCCTCCTCTTCCTTCGTCCCTTCTTGTATGAAATCGGACAGTGCCTGAGCCTTGATCGCCCTTCTTGGCTCATAAATAATCGTGTATTCACTCAGCTCGACTGCCCATTTGACTAATCGACCCGACACGGAGGGCCGACCTAGTGTTTCCCCCAGTGGCACTTTCACCCTATTCCCCAAGAAATATGGTCTCAGCTTTCTGACAGTGACGACCACTGCCAAGGCCCCTTTCTCAATCTCTGAATACCTCTTCTTTGCCCCCTACATCACCTTACTCACGTAATAAATAGGGAATTGGGCTGTCCCTTACTCCCGCAATAACACCGAGCTCACCGCCGTCTCGCCAATGGATACATATAACACCAAGTCCTCCCCTTGCACCGGTTTTGCCAATAGTGGAAGGTCGACCAACACCTTCTGCAACTCCTCGAATGCCTTTTGGGCTTCTTCTGTCCATTGGAACTTCGAGCGTTTTCTGAGTGTTTTGAACAGGGGCCCACTCTTCTCTGCTACTTTAGAGATAAAACGGCTCAGGCCGGCTATTCGACCAGTTAGGACCTGCACCTCCTTAACCTTCGTGGGGGGTTGCATCTCGACCACCGCTCTTACTTTCTCCGGGTTGACCTCGATTCCTCTCTTTGTGACCATATAGCCCAGAAACTTCCCAGATTAGACCCCAAATGAGCATTTAGCGGGATTCAACTTCATTCCATACTTCCGGAGGGTCATGAATGTTTCTTTCAAGACGTTCACGTGATCGATCTCTTCTTTGCTCTTCACCAACATATCATCCACATACACCTCCATGTTCCTCCCCAGCTGCTCCTTAAAGATTTTATCTACCAACCTCTGATATGTTGCTCCTGCGTTTTTTAGGCCAAATGGCATTACCACATAACAGTAGGTTCCTCAGCTTGTCACAAAACTGACCCTTTTCCAATCTTCTCGCGCCAGCGGGATTTGATGATAACCCTGTTATGCATCCATCAAGCTGAGTAGCTCACATTCGGCCGTGGAATCGACCAGCTGGTCGATCTTGGGTAGTGGATATAAGTCCTTCGGGCATGCCTTATTCAAATCCCGAAAATCTATGCACATTCGCCATTTCCCCTCTGATTTTGAGACCATCACCATGTTCGATAGCCACTTCGGGAATTGGATCTCCTTTATATGGCTTGCCCTCAAGAGCTTTTCTACTTCCAACTCGATCACTTTATCCATTTCTGTCCCGTGATGTCTCATCTTTTGCTTCACCGACCTTATAGTGAGGCCGATATTCAACCGATGCTCGATAACTTCAGCTTTGATGCCAGTCAACTCCTCCGTCGAGTATGCGAACACATCCGCAAATTCCCTTATCATGTTAATCAGCCTTGATCTCACTGGCTCCCCCAATTCCTTCCCGATCCGAAAATTTCTCTCTTCATACCCCTCGACCATCTGTATCTCCTCAACTTTGCCACCTGGCTGGATATCTATTTTGTCCATGCCCTTCTCCAACCTGTGCCATTCCTCCTTCGATCTCGACCCTCATGGTCGACTAACCTCCACCTCTCTTGGCCACGCCTGCCTCCTTGCTAACTGTTTGTTATTGCTCACAGTGGTCTGGTAGCAACTTCTCGAGGTAAGTTGATCTCCAGCGATCTCACCAACGTTTTCGCCCACCGGATATTTGATCGTCATGTGGTACGTGGATACGACCGCTTGGAACGAATTCAAGCTGGTTCTCCCCATTATGATGTTGTAAGACGATTCAGCTCCTACGACCACAAATCTCACCATTCGAACTTTCTGGGTCGCTCCTTTTCCCAGAGCCACAGACAGACCCATTTCTCCCATCGGCATAACCTCCCCTCCATTAAAACCATACAAGGCCGTAGCCACCAGCTTCAACTCTACATTCAACTCTAGATTAATTTGCACGAAGAAATCATAAAACATGACATCGATCGAGCTTCCTGTGTCTATAAACACCCTTTTCACATCAAAACCTACGACTTCTGCTGTAATCACCAAGGCATCATTATGGGGTATCACCACCCCTGTTGCGTCTTCTGCTCGAAAACTAATTTCTGGTACTCGGGCCGTGATACCCACCTCCTCCCTTTTCCTCTTCATTGCTCGAACATGACCCCTCCTAGCATTGTTTGAATCTCCGTCTGTCGGTCCTCCTGAAATCATATATATCGTGCCCCTCTTCATCTGGCCTCCCACTCCTTGTCCATCTCGCTCCCTACTTCCTCGTCTCCTCCTCCCCTCACCTCTCTTTCGACCATCTCGACCACCTCGAGGCTCCTCTTCATCATCTTCATCGCTCCTCTCCACCGATTTCTCCCGACACCTCCTCTTCTCCTTCCCCCTCACCTTATCCTGATAAACAAACTCCTTGAGATGCCCTGCTCGAATAAGGCGTTCAATTTCATCTTTGAGATGTCGACAGTCCTCAATAGTATGGCCATAATCTTTGTGGAAGCGGTAATATCTCCTCGACTTCGGTTGAGTTGGCCCTTCAAACCTCGACCTCGGCCACGTCACATCTTTCCCTTCTATCCCCTTCTCCATGGCCATCAAGACCTCGGCTACCTTTGTGTTTAACGGGGTATTATCATGAAATCTCTTCCCTCCAGAGATAGGCCGGTCATTCCATCTGTCCTCTCGTCCCCGATCCTGCTTAGTTCGCCCCTCTCTCCTGGGCAAAGCTCTCCTCTTTGGCGAAACTGCTTTCTCCTTCTTCGTTTCCCCGCGACCCAACTCCTCTAATTTGGAAAACTCCGCCTCAGTCTCCTCGAGATTAATATATTTCCTACACCTCCTCAACACCTCATCATACGTATGATCCGGGGTCTTAGCCAGAGAGGTCTGACATGGTCCTGCTCGCAAAC